GCCTGTTCTATCTTGTTATGCAGCATGTTGATTATTCTCTCAGAACCAGCTAAATACATACATGGTTTTGGGGTAGAGATCTTCAGAATTGGTTTGGCATGCAACTGTGTCACCTCCTGGCGGCAGCACATGTCTTGTGAATTCTCCGTTATGATTTGAACGCGTCACCTTAACCACGACTACACCGTCAGAATGTCAGGGACCACAAGGGCACGAGAGGAACAAATCACAGGACTCGAGCTAAATAAAAACAAAATGTGTTTAATTCAAGTTGTTACAGTAACAAAAGGAAAGTAAAAACAGACACAAAAAATGAGGCCAGGGAGTGGGAACATTTTCCTGCTGGTGTTTGTGTCCAGGTTACTGCGTCTCCACGTCTGAGGAGGCTGTGGGAAGAGCAGAGGAGGGGTCAGTGAAGCCTGAACCCCTGCATGGCATTCATGCGGAGGGAACACTGCTTTACACACAGTCCTGTTGCTATGGGAGTCAGCTGGAAGAATTTGCATAGATACTTTAACTTAAGCAGCAGATTTCTGACTGCATGCACTATATATCAGAAAATAACAATATTGCAGTACGACAGTGGAATGACCCTGTATATTTGATATTGAGAAAATAACTAATCACAGTGAGTGTGTGTGTGAGTTAAGAGTTACAGACAGAAGCGCCTGCAGAAATTGTTTCTGTAATTCTCCAGCTCATTATCAAAATACTGGATGACGGAAAACCCACTCGACAACTTTTCTGTCTGTCTGTGAGATTTGATATTTCTGAGTTTGGATGGTGAGCACTTCTGCTCTGGGAATTCATCAGACCCCCCATTTGTCAAACCAAGGAACTACATGTGGGAATGTGAATATTGCCATGACAGTTTTAGTTTGGAGTGACTCGAGATGTTTCAGACAATGATGGTATGTGAGCTCATCCAGATGTTCTTGAATATAGTCAAGGCTACACGTCTCAGAGAGAATGGAAATGGTTACCCTGAGTGTTTGTTAATGATATAGACGACTAACCACTACCAGAGCCCTAACGTAAATGGAGACGTTACGGTCACAACATCTGAAGACAGCCACCACTGAACTTTCCAAAAGGTCTAACTGTTAAACACCTGTTTGTGGTAGAAGTTCACTCCTGGGTCTCCATGCTCTCATCCTCTCCGTCCCCCCCCCCTCCTCCAGAGCTTCATTCCTTCCCTCCCTCCTTCCTCTCGTGGGAGGTCTTCTCATACCGTCCTTCTCTGACGGAGTGACGATCACCACCCGTCCCATGGTGGACATCTCTGGTCGGCCGAGGTCTGACAAAAGAAAACAGACAACTATTTATTATTTATTTTACTTCCTACTTGTGTAAAGTAAAAAGGCAACTAATTTGACAAAGTACGAAGGCAACTAATTTAATAAAAGCTG